TACTATTTAAAAAAAAGGTTAAGAAGGAAACTCCCGTCAATACTAGAAAGAGCAATAACAGCTACTGGACTTGAGAAACCTGTTTTCCTAAAAAATGTTTTAAGAGAAAAACTTCATAAATTTCAACCGAAAGCAGTATTGGCAGCTCAGTCAATGAATGCCGAATGTTTCCTTATAGGGAAACGGCTAATATGACCATCTGCTAATATGACCATATGGTATATCAACATTACTACCTCATCAAGAATTTTTTCGGTTAAGCAACATCGAGCATAGTCAGTACCTAGGTAGGTGACTGCTTGGTAATGTCAGGTGCCGTAATCTTGGATGTGAGGGCGGTATAATGGCTAATGGCTAATGGCTCGAAACTGTTAATCGGAGAGTCGAGTTCCAAATTCGGGTTCGTTATATTCTCTTACATGCAAATACCCTTGGGAAAGGTATGAATCAACTTTTTCCCCCAGCTAGGGGTTAATTAGTAAGATTTATATCACTAAACAGTTATTATCATAAAAATTCTTACAATCTAAAAATATTTCCTGGCTTTAAATAACCTTGAAATGGTTGATAAACCGTAGAAAACAAATCAATAAAAATATGTTGAACTGCTGTGTAATGTATAAACTCCTATATTTTTTTAATCATTTCACTTCCTGCAATGCAATAAAGTATATCGGAACACACCTATTATATAGTTAATAGACTCTTCCACCTATAATAAGTAGGAGTAGTAAGAGTAACGAGGAGTCGCTCAGTGTCGGTCAGTCAGTCGATGTCGGACGACCGTTAGTCGGATACTAAACTATCAGCGACCAAAACTAGATTTCTCTGCGTCATTACCTATTATATCAAGTTCCTAACGTTTTGTACGTCGAACCTATTTTAGGACCGACTTAGTACAAATACAAGCCTCCATTGTGAAACCACTCCATAACATAAAGTCACTAAAACGCAAATGGTTACAGAGTGTTAAGGTATATGTGAAAATATACTATTAATGAAAAGGACAATAAAAACAAGAATTAAGGAGACAGTGGCTAACGATTGACATTGCATTAACATTCCTGAAGATCAAAGTTGACTGGGAAGCAAGAAACCGGAAGTCAGAAGTGCATTAGAAGAAACTGTTAGCATAGAACTTACGGTTACATCTAGCCGTTTCAACAGTAAAATGAGGAGCCTTGTTGTCAATCTAGTACTGCGAAAGGATACTGAGAATATGGATCGAACACATTAGCAACTATGAGGTTTTGGAGAAAATGGAAACAAAAAGGACACTTATACTCAGAATCAGAAAACGATTGTTGAAATTTACGGGGAACATAACGAAGAATTAGAAAATTTGGCACACAGATTGAAGGTACGAGAGACATAGGAGAAAGAGAGATAATGCATCACATACCTAACCAGCTTGCGTAAATGTTTGGCAGAACATGAATTAGGAGAGACAGCAAAACGACAAAATTTATTGAGCGCTACAAAGGACAGGAAATTGTGGAGAACCATGATCGCGCACGTCCTGAAGTGACACGGCACATAGAAGAAGAAGCGGGTGTAAATGGTTGGCAGAAGAGGGATTAAGAGAGATAGCAAAAAGGTAAACTTTACTGAGGGCTACAAAGGACAGGAAATTGTGGAGAGCTATGATTACTCACGTCCTGAAGGGACACAGCGCATAGAAGCAGCTTGTGTAAACGGTTAGTAGAACCGGGATTAGGAGAAATAGCAAAAAGACAAAATTAACTATGACCTACAAGAGACCGGAAATTATGGAGAGCCATGATCGCCTACATCCTGAAGGGACTCGGTAGATAGAAGGAGTTTGTGTAAATGGTTGGTAGAACATGGATTAGGATAGATAGCAAAACGACAAAATTTACTGAGGGCTACAAAGGACAGGAAATTGTGGAGAGCCATAATCGCTTACATCCTGAAGTGACACTGCACATAGAAGAAGAAGGAGCTCGTGTAAATGATTGGCAGAACATGGATTAGGAGAGATAGCAAAACGACAAACTTATTCAGGGCTACAAGGCAGGAAGTTATAGCGGGACATGGTAAATAGGAGAAGTCTGTTGATGCCGGCTGGGAAAGTCTGCACGAATATCTTGGTTTCACGTGAACAACCACTACCGTGACGAAGTACAGCGCAGTGGGGGACATACTTCTCGGTACACAAAACACGAATGTTTCTCCGTCTCTGTTGAAGAAACCGGAAGGGGCTAATTTACAACAGAGTTGGGTAGCCATTGCGTCTTGGTTTCGATCATTAACTCGACTCGATGCCTTCGTTTAAGGCGATTTTTTTCGTCCTGTTGGCCTCAAGGCGATGCCAAATGGCGGCGTTTTATCTTACTTTAATCTGTTTCCCCTGCATTTAAGTAAATGGCACACTCTCCATTGGTCCAATTCTCTTTACCACCAAAATCTGATTTTTCAGAAAGCATTTCAGCAATTATTAATTATTAATATCATATTAGTCTATATGGAACGACACCTGGGCACTTCGAGGCGGTGTGATGGTTAGCAAGCTTGTCTCGCTAGAACAATTACGACTGAGTAGTGAGTTCGATCCTCACTGGGTACCTCATACTTTTGGCCTTGTGCCAAAATCTAAGCTACGCTTGGAAAATCACTTTTGGTCACCTCGAGGTGGTGTAATGGTTAGCAAGCTTGTCTCGCTAGAACAATTACGACTTAGTGAGGTCGATCCTCACTGGGTGCCCCCTACTTTCTGCTTTGTTCCACATCTAAGCTACACACATATTGCTATTAAGCATTACTCTTCAAATATGAATTGAGTTCTCCGAGCCGCTGGCGTATTTCGTATTGAGAAAAACGTTAAATTTCCCTTCCTTTCAACTGTGAGACGTTGTCCTAGGAGAATGATATCTGACTGATGTCAAATCAGTCGGGTTTCGATCCCGGCTTGAAGCAATTGGACGTCTAGCCCCACTGAGGAACTGCGTAACAGCCTGTCTGGGGATGACTAATATATATATATATAAAAGTGCACATTGAAGACAACACTCAGAGGCCACAGGCTGTTTCATGCTAGACGCAGGCGTCTAGCATGAAACAGCCTGTCACCTCAGTGTTGGCTTCAATGTTCACTTTTATATTTACATATGCTCTCTCTCTGATATTGAGCACTTTATCCCATAAATATAGCACATTTTAGAATTGCACCTATAATTGAAATTAAAATAACTGATCCAACGTGCAACTTTCGGATAATAAGTGTGACATTACTGTAATTATTGAACAATATAGTTCATGCCACATTGACGGAAAACCTACCAGTGAAAAAGAATTTTCTTATTACTATATTTGTACAAAAACGCACAACCTTAAAATTTTAAATTCAAACTCAGCGTTGCGACCGCACGTTCCAAAACAATAACACATTTCTCATAACATTTTTTCGGATTACATCTCTATTTTCGTTGTCCTCTTATTACCGAGAAGTAAAAAACAAGAACAAAATCTATTTCCATACCTAAGGATGTCTGTAGGAACAGACGAAAGCTTGTAAAAACTTAAAAAGACCTTATGCAACTGGAATTTATAAACAGGGATCATATCATTCATATACAGGTTCGGAGTTGGTGTACCTTATTGATATTGTTTGCGAAGATGTATTCTCGCCATTTAAATCATTAACCTCTATATTTGTTTTTTTTGTATGAATGATTCATGAATTCATATATATATATATATATATATATATATATATATATATATATATATATATACTTAAACACTAGTACTCCATGGTCGTAATTTATTACATTGGAATCGTAAATTCCAATTCATCAGACCTACAATCAATTGTATCATATTTACGATTCCAATGTAATAAATTATGACTATGGAGTACTAGTGTATAAGCCTTTTTATTATATCCTTACTCTGTCCTGGACATTGAGTTCTACCTAGATTCTATCCTCTTGGATTTTTTTACACATATATATATAATTATATATATATATATATGTATGTGTATGTATGTATGCATATATATTTGTGTGTTTTAGATATACATATACATATATGTATGTGTATATTAACCACGAATATTATCTATATATGTACATATATATAAATAAACAATAGGAAAACTTTTCTTTAGTAGTACGTTTCGATTTTTGATGTAAAGATTTTACTTTGCAACATGTATTTGTAAACAGAATTAAAAAAATATATCGTTAGGTTTTCAAAATTTTTAAATTCAAGATCGCTCAAAAATAACTGTAAAGATAAACTATGGAGGATGGTTGTCCTTATTTTCACAGTTAACCATAAGAGAATATTTTTAATGCAATGTCTGCTCGATATCGCTTCGTATACGTTCTTTTTAACCAGACAGAAGTTACGCTCTATTATGTTAACGGTGCTGATCTGGCATCTCGACTTCAGTCACTTTCCCATCGCCGTGATGTGGCTTCCCTCTTTCTTTTTATGTAAATATTTTCATGAAAATTGCTCTGATGAGCTTTTTTCCATGACTGCATAGAGACCTTAAAGTATTATGGTGGTTGTAGTAAAAATGGTAAGTAAGTGTAAGGAATACTATGATATATTTGGGTCAGTAATCGTGGTTAGCTAAGTTTAAGATAAGACAGATTGAAGCCCTCCCTTTACCCTCCTTTTGGCCTTGTGCCACATTTTCGTTTTTCAAAATAAATATTGCTTTCCTTCTTGACTGCATGAATTTAAATGTAATACTAGCAACTAGGTCTCATCGTTTTACTGTTGTGATTTAACCGTGTATGTTTTATTCTAATAGTTTAATTTCTTGCATTTTTCATCTGTAGAACTCACTTCCGGTTTCTTGCTTTCATGTCGCCTTACAATCTTCAAAAATTTAGAGGCACCACAATCACCAATTTCTGTCTTCCTGAAATCTGTTCTTTTATTGTCCTTTCTCCTTACTAGCGTCTTCTCATTCTATTTCAATTTCAATAACACCTTGCATATTAGTGGCATTAACACCTTGCTTAGGGTGAAATGATAAGAGAGAGAGAGAGAGAGAGAGAGAGAGAGAAAGAGAGAGAGAGGAAGAAAGAGGGAGAGAGCGAGAGAAAGAGGGAGAGAGCGAGAGAAAGAGGGAGAGTGCTTAGGGTGAAATGATGATAGAGAGAGGGAAAGAAAGAACAGGTGAGAGAGAAAGAGAGTGAGAGAGAGGGAAAGAAAGAGAAAATGAGAGAGAGAGAGTGTGAGAGAAAGAGCCATATATATATATATATATGTAGAGAGAGTGTGTGTATGTGAGAGAGAGAAAAAGAAAGTAAGAGAGAGAGAGTGAGAGAGAAAAAAAGCGAAAGATAAAGAGAGGAGAGAGAAAAACTGAGAGAGAAGGAGAGAAAGAGCGAGAGATAGAGAAAGATAAAGAAAGAAAGAGGTGTGTGTGTGTGTGTGTGTGTGTGTGTGTGTGTGTGTGTGTGTGTGTGTGTGAGAGAGAGAGAGAGAGAGAGAGAGAGAGACTATCATACTTCCAGTTATATATGTGATTAATTGCACCGATACCAACTGTTAGGGCAGAAATTAAATTTGACTGTTTATTTTGTCAATGTTTTGTATTGTTAATTAAATTAAAACCCGGAAATATGGGAGAATGATGAGCATCTTGATGCGCAGTGGGAAAGACTGGATGTCAAGTGATGTTCTATTCTTCCTGTAATTGGTCTCTCAGTGGTTTTTACACCCCAAGTCATGGGGACAGTCACCTGACGCAAATTTCCCTTTCGTTTATCTTTGAGGCAAATTGTTAATATGCACTGATCTATCGCTCTCTCTCTCACTCTCTCTCTCTCTCTCTCTCTCTCTCGACACACACACACACACACACACACACACACACACACACACACACATATACACATATATGTATATATTGACTACTAACCATTTTTACATAATTAAATCAATTTTGTCTCACTAGGAGGCGCCAAGTCTTAATTGACTGGCTTTATATATATATATATATATATATATATATATATATATATATATATATATATATATAATCGCAGGCACGCGAAAACGTTTGGCTGAAAAGGAGGACAGAAATTTAATACACGAATAGAAAAATAATATATATATATATATATATATATATATATATATATATATACAGTTTATAACAATAAATTGCACTTTGCTAACCAGATGCTTCTCTCTAGCTAAATAGTATAACACGTCAGATCAAATGAAGGTTTCTGTATAGGAATACAGCTTCGATTCCTGTCGGAGAACGCATATTTTCTACGAAATTTTTCGAACATTCAGGCCAGTAAATGTTATTAATAATGTTTAATTAAAATCATACCATTTACCAAAAAGATGTTTAGGATAGGTTAGTATGAACAGAAAATGTATTCTTTGATTTAGTTTGGTTTATTTTGTTTTACAGCATATCAGCCTCAATGGGTTATTTATTGCTGACAAGATGTTTAAATTAGGCTCGTGTGAATAGAATATGTATTCTTTGTAAGAAATCAATTTGTAGATCAGGTTTCATTGACGTATTTTTGTAAATGTATTGCTGGTGTTATTCTTTTTCAATGTATTGCTGATATTTTTACTATAAAAAATTATTTTTATACTTCCATAATGTTTTGACTCCAGTAACTATTTGCCCATATCTGGGACGCTAACAGATGCTACTAACACCCTGGGCCAGGGTGGCCCTGAGAACAACAACAATTAAACCGCGGTTCCACGCTACTCAAAACATCCGGTTAGAGGCCTTGCTACCGGATGTAGTTAATCGTCATACCCAGAATACTTCAGTCGCATAATCTGGCGATATCAGTAATTGAACAAGGTCAAATTTCACTCACAACGTTTGGATCAATTCAGGCACGTTCGAATCACGTCGTCCTAGGATCGTCTCCGCAGACCAACATTATCAAGACGTCATCTGTTGATAAATCGATCACAATGTTTTTCGAAGCCGGATACCCCATGTTTGAAATGCTAACTTTCTAATCATTCGAACGTTAGAATTAAATACAGAAAGAAGAGATTTGAATGTCTAATGTTGAATATACCAATAACTCTTCCCAAACTAAGGTCAAATTATATTTGATTATATTAAGGCGGGAAAACTGACAGTAGACAACGCCCTCTAGCGGAAGAAGACTTGAAAAAATATTACTAAAATGATGGTCAGTTAACAATAAAAAGATGGCGCTTTTTAAAATTAAAGAAAGCTGTGGAAGCTGTGGAGAGTCACAACAATCTACACCCAGCTGGGATATGTCACTAAAAATTTATAAACCAATGTCTAAAATGTGATGTGAAACTGAATTTATTCCTACATCATATCACCCACCTATATATATATATATATATATATATATACTTATTTATATGGATGTGAGTTTGCAACCCTGGGTTTCACGCTTTTTGCGATCCTCAGACAATTCGAAAATAAAAGGAATTAATTGGGGGGTTCGACCGGTGCACACCATGCGTTTTACTTTTGAAATATTTTTTAAGGCTGATGAATCTGTAATTGCAACACAGAGTTTTTCGGGCTCATTTCAGGTTACGTCTGAATAATGCTGTTCCGGATAGAAAATCGTTGCTGCTATGAGTCGAAAATTTCAGGGCCACCAGTTCAGTGCTTAAAAGAAAGCCACCCGAAAGATATCAAAGCGCTCGAACGTCCGGATGTTCTAAAAACTTTACAAATCGTCCACAAGAATGTATGGCGAATAGATCTCACCATTTGTAGGATGTCATTTTTAAAACGAAATGAATAAAAACTATAGACCTTTGTTTAAACAACTGTGCCAAAAAACTTTTTAATAGCAGTTACCTTGGTCTTTTTGTCAACATTTAAAATGTGCGAGGTATTTCTATCGCTCCCTGTATTTTCAAGTATAAATATGCTTGACTGCATGTTGGTATAAACTTTCCAGTGATGCTGATTGCTCGGCAGAAGTCACATGATCAAACTCAATTCAATGATTATTATCGAGAGAAAAGTAAGGCGGGAAAACTGACAGTAGACAACGCCCTCTAGCGGAAGAAGACTTGAAAAAAAATATTACTAAAATGATGGTCAGTTAACAATAAAAGGATGACGTTTCTTAATTTATACCCACGGTGAACTAATAGAAAAATATTCTATACGAGATCGAATGGACCAATTGATTTAGATGTACGTATTTGAATATTAATGTATCCTTTGTAAAATCTTTACGAGTTGCGCATCTTTTTTTTTAATCGAAGTAAAAGACACACAACTGTATAAACTCATATAAAAGACTTATTTTTTAAAATTAATTTTTTTTTTTAGATATTTTGTTTGTTGTTGTAGATAATGGAACCGACATGCCGAGTTCAAATTCCGGTCTAGTCTGCTGCATTCACTTTCGCACAAATGCTCTTCAGGAAGTCGTTTCTTCTTCTCCCACCAGCGATGGATCAATAACAGAGTACCCAGGAATCTCTCGTCTTGTGTGACAACCAATCTAAAAGAAGGAAAAATCTGAATTCAAACCGTGGTGAACGCATCACGAAGCCACTCTACTATATTTCTCGGGAAATCAAAAGTTCTTGCTTTTTAAAATTAAAGGAAGCTGTGGAGAGTCACAACAATCTACACCCAGCTGGGATATGTCACTGAAAATTTATAAACCAATGTCTAAAATGTGATGTAAAACTGAATTTTTTTCACATCATATCACCCACCAAATATATATATATATATATATATATATATATATATATATATATATATATATATTTGGTTGGATAGATGTGAGTTTGTTATGTGAAAAGTGTATATAAATATAAATAAATATATATATGTATAATTATTTATATATTATATGCGCAGTATTTTATTAGAAAGCGCTCAATATCAGAGATAGAGCTAACATATTTGGTTGGATAGATGTGAATTGAGCGCTTTCTAATAAGTACTGCGCATATAATATATAAATAATTATACATATATATATTTATTTATATTTATATACACTTTTCATATATATGTATATATATATATATATATAATTATTTATTTAAAATATGATTCCAACGCTACATAAGAGTTCTCATGTTTCAAAACAAGAGCCAAAAACTTCAATATAATTATTTGAATTAAATTGAATTAAAGTACTAAGCTCTGTTCCATCTTCAAGCGAAATTTTTTTGGAATAACTTATTTCGGAAATTTACGCGTTTTATAAGCATATTCATTATTGAAATCAAAATTTCTATGGTAACGGCTAGAGCAATTGTTTAAAGAAAAGGGGCATAAGGTGTTAATAATTTGTATCAATATCTCAGTTACATTCACAGATGTCAAGTCAGGGTAAGGTTGGGGGTGTCTAAATTTAAAGCGGAAGATGACATCGTCTAGTCTGGTTAAGTGTCTATGGAGATTTCTTCTATTTTCCTATTTTCTATATATTTTCACACACACACACACACACACACACATATATATATATATATATATATATATATATAAACTTATTTATATGGATGTGAGTTTGTAACCCTGGGTTTCACGCTTTTTGCGATCCTCAGACAATTCGAAAATAAAAGAAATATATTGGGGGTATGTATATATGTATGTGTATATACATATATGTGTATGCTGATTCATTATTATAAGACAGTATGTATATATGGGGAGAGAATATACATATTCAGGCTAACAGGAACACGCACACACAAAGGGAAGGAAGACATCTCTCATCAACACATCTATCATCGCTACCTCTCATACCAAACATAATTAACCTGTTTTATTCACAGAAATTCATTTTTGCCAAGAGTCCAGAAAGGAGTTCAAGGCTCACTAACAAATACAAAAAAACGAACAATGAGACATTAAAAAAAAAATAAGGAACATTTATTTCTTTTATTTGTTCGAAGATACCGGAAATGCGTGTAGCAGAAATAAGAAGAATAAAATATATCTACTCAAACAAATCCACATTATAACTAAAAACATTTGAGGTTTCTCTCTTTTTTTAAATATATATTTTCTCGCGTTGGAACAACTAAAACCTTTTCCATATATATATATATATATATATATATATATATATATATATATATATATATATATATATATATATATATATGCACATTTCATTGAATACGACAGACAAAGGTACTTTGATGTAGTTTTTTTATACAATTTCTCATGCGATTTTTTTTTTCTTTTCAGATGATAAATTATATAAAAACTGTCCGAATGTTCATTTTTCCGAGCTCTTTCGGCTATACATTTAGCCATTATCAAAGATGAAATATTTTAACTGTTAAATAAGTAATAGTTTGTTGCATGTATGCATATATATAATTTATCATCTGAA